AAAAACATTGCAGGAAAGTAGTGGCCAGACTGGAAAGATTAGGCAGGCAAGTAGTCACCACACGGAAGCGGTAGGAAAGTCGCGGCCGCGCCAAAGCCAGACAGCAAAGGAGCCACCACACCAAAAGCACCAATCCGAGAGGGGCAGGCAGGTGGCAACCACAAAAACAACCACCACACAAACAACAAGTGTCCGACAAGAGTGTCCCACAAGGGTGACATGCAAGAGTGTTTTGCAAGAGTGTCCAACAAGAGTGACATACAAGACAAGTATCCCACAAGAGTGCCCTGCAAGAGTGTCCCACAAGAATGTCCGACAAGAGTGTCCTACAAGAGTGTCCCACAAGAGTGTCCTACAAGAGAGTTCCACAAGAGTGCCCCACAAGAGTGTTCTACAAGAGTGTCCCGCAAGAGTGTCGTACAAGAGTGTCCCACGAAAGTGTTCCACAAGAGTGTCCGACAAGAGTGTCCTACAAGAGCTTCCTACAAGAGAGACGCACAAGAGTGTCCTACAAGAGTGTCCTACACGAGTGTGCCGCAAGAGTGTCCCACAAGAGTGAGTGTCATACAAGAGCGTCCCACAAGAGTGTCCCGCAAGAGTGCCCCACAAGAATGCCCGACAAGAGTGTCCTACAAGAGTGTCCTACAAGAGTGTCCCACAAGAGTGTCCCACAAGAGTGTCCTGCAAGAGTGTCCCACAAGAGTGTCCTGCAAGAGTGCCCCACAAGAGTGAGTCCGAAAAGAATGCATCCTACAATAGTGTCCCCTACAAGAGTGTCTTAACTTGTTTGGGTGTTGGATTTTGAGTACGTGTTTGCATTCGGGTTCGGGGGTTCCATCTTGTTTGTTTTGAAGGGGTGCGTCTAGGGCACGTGTTTGGAGGAGATGTGAGGCAGGTGATTTTTTTTTTGCAGGGATTTTTCGGAAGGACCCAAGGGGACATTGGTTGGAACAATGAAGTGGAGTCGACGGAGTCTTCGAAAGAAATGGGGGATCTTTCGGTGGATCTGATAAAAACCCAGTGGATTCCACAGGGAGACTGGGTCACATAACAGTCACCCGGCTTGCATCTCCAAAATCTGGAGATCGTTTTGGCCCACGTGTCGACCGGTCGACCGGTCGATCCGATCGGTTTCTGCCTCATCTCTAACACCCGCGCAGTTCATCTAGCGATGCGAGGTTTGACCTCAAGGCACGCCCTGAGAGGGAAAAGCAGAACACCTGCCCAGTTCGGCAAACGAAGGGCAGAAGAACTTGCACAGTTGACAGATCCAGGTCTCTCAACAGCTAATCATTAATCAGGACACCCTAAAGGGTGTCTATTGATAGCCCGAGAGCCCCTTAGAGGTTAAGGGGTGTCCATTAACCCTCTCAGAAGGTGATTGCAGACACTGTTAGTTATGTAGGTGCCAGTCGGGTCCAGTCGTGCCGAACCTGAGCTTCGGTACCGGATCCCAGGGAAGGAAGTCCCCGGCCGCACCTTTGTACCGCCGCTCGTCCCGCTCTTCGTCCGCAGGAAGGCACGGTGGGAGTGCCACCACGAGTGGCGCTGTGCCTCACCAAGGTGCGGACCGCGAGGAGGGGCGATCGGACGAAGGGAACCACCGGCGTTTCGTGTGACGGGTTTTGGGGGAAGTGTGCGGATGAAGCGCGAGTCGTGAGTCGCGTGAAGGTGGATAAGCCAGGGCCTTTTTTGGGGGGGAACGGTTTTTTGTTTTGTTTCATGGTCCTCACAGGGTGCTGAGATGTCGGTGGTGAAATGGCGCTTCTCAAATCATGGGATCCCGGTGTACGGGCTGGGGCAGTGAAAGGAGATCGATGAACGGAGCTTGATGTTGCACCACCGCCCCCCCTTTGATCCTGTCGTTTTGTGCTCATGCTTTTGATGCTCTCGGGGGTCGGAAACTTCTCTCCTGCAATGTCAGACCAGAGAGGGCGCCCGGCCGATTGAGTGAGGTGGTTTTGGGTCCCTTGGTCCCATTTGAAGAAACATGAAGAAACATCCAGCTGCATTGGGCTATACCCCGAAAGGGTGGTTATATATACGTCAAGACCGTGGAAAATACCTCAAGGAAATCCCTCTTTGATGTTGAATTTTCGATCTATACACCTTCCCACAGCGTCCTATAATTAGGTGAGGTGTAAAAGGATCAGCCTTGGCACCGGCGCCGGATTCCCCGTAGGGCTCTGGCCTCGACACCTTGGACGCCGTGGGTCAAGTGGAGATCCGCTACGCCGGGGAGCCGAGATCAGCAGGAGCTGCGTGACCCGGACGCGACCTGGCTGGGACTGGAATATCTGCCGCCCCATGGACCCTCCGACTCCCTCAAACCACCCCTGGCCGTTTCTCGGCAGTCCGCAGTCGCATGGAGTCCTCGAATGTTTGGGTGATGTTGTGGTTTGTGTGTTCTTGTTTCGACGAGTTGGGATGGTGGTCAAAGCAAATGTGCCCAGGCCATGCATGAGATCTATGCCGCATACATTGACGCCAGGTCAACCTTAATGGAGGTACATATGCCAGTCCCCGTGAATGTCTGGGAAATCTGTTGAAAGAGAGAGAGAGAGAGAGAGAAGCAGCGTGATAACACGGGAGGGGCAGAGATGGTCCATCTTACCACGTAGAGTAATAAGAGGTCTTTTAGCCGAACATACCCGTGTACGGGGACTCCCACCACAAAAGACCCTTTCTCCTTCGAGTTAGTGGTAGTCTTGTTTTGGGGAAGTCCACTCGGCGAGATACGTAAGAGACCCACCCCCTGATTGCTTTCCAAGTCCCGCTTTCACTGACCGTTGAAATTGGTTGGCACAGCTTTGGGGTGCGAAGAAAAGCAAGCTGAAACTGAAGTTGTGGTTTCAGGAAAGGCAAGCTGGCAGTGGTTCGATGTGTTTTTTGGAAAGGAGCGCGAACCCATGCTCTCGCATGTTCTTTGGATTTCTTTGGCACATTGATGCCACATGCAAACATGTGCAACATTCGTAACAGGCCTTCCGACACTGCAACCTTGAGTCATCATGAGTCCACGCTGATTCAGATCTCAATATTTGTTAAGAGCCCAGCCCATGCACATCAGCAGTCAGGTAGACGGTAGACTTGTATCACCCTTCTTAGGGACCCAAATACTGACCAACATCACCACCATTCCAACTACGGCCAACATCTCATCCGAAACGACGATCGAAGCAGCAAATCCTCCGCCGCATCGCGTGCCCCGGGTGAGCTGACCACCCTTTCTGCGGCTTCTGAGGTGAAATTGCCCCGCTGCCGAAAGAGCAGGGTGGTCTTTCAGCCTCGCGGAGAGGTGGGGAGGAGGGTGAGTCTGCTCAGAGTAGTCGGAGGTGTGAAGAGACTGGAAGTGAGCGAAACAGATGGAGATGGCTGAGATTGGGAACAAACCCATAAGCAAAGAACGGGGTAATTACGTGGCTGTGGGTGAAAAATGGTGGCAGACCGATCGGTTTGACCTGCTTGGAAGCTCTCCAGAACGACTCAACCGCGCCTGCGGCGGAACACCCTGGAACACCTCTGTTAAAGGAGGGGTCACTAGAACTCCGGGTGTGGATCTGACCGATTTGGATGTTCCCTTGATGGATGGACCAGTCCTGTGGGGGAAGAGTTCTGTCCGCTTCTGGGACAGCAAATACAAGTTTAATCACCCTGTGACCTGAGGCTTGCTTGTGGAAGAGTCGAGGTTCATGCAACTCATCTTGTCTTGGGTAGCATGATACTGAAGTTGCCAGAGGTCAGCAAGCCCCCGAGGTCTTAGTCCTCTGTGCTCTGTGCATCTTGCCTTCCAGTCGAGTCCAGTGGACCTTTTTTCGTTTCAGCGGCGGTTCCGGCTCCCACACGTCAGCTCCAAGCGGCTGATAACACACAGCGATGTTCCCCCTCCCCCCGATCGCCCGCCTTGTCTTCGCCCTCCTCGAGCGCCCTGCAGGGCTTTCACGCCGGTGGCATGAAGGTGGTCTCTTTGGATTTAGAGCATGTGCGATCCTCGGCGCGCTTTTTTGGGCATTGAGACAAGGTTTGATGAGGCTAATGAACTGAGAAGGATGTGTTCGCAAGTGAGAGCGACCCCAAATATTATGTGTCATTGGTGTCAGCTGTGGTGAAGTCGAGTCCTTCAACGTGTCATCCCCGGCCTCCTAGACTGGAACACGAACTAACTCATGTTGACCCACAAAGACCCTCCACGATTCCATGCGTCCAAAATGCGGAGATGAAGGGGGATGGGCATCAGCAAGAGATTCTAAATGGCATCGAAAGTGCATCCAACCGCAAGAAGGCGCATGTGCCTATGAGAACGAGACTGCTGGCTTGTGGAAGAAATTCGCACCACCAACAGAAAGTACCATATACCAACGCATTCCTATCCCCAGTACAGAATCACTTCCTTCAAAAGTATCGTGAGCCCAAAACCTTGTCTCTTTTTGCGGGCGACTTGTTTGTGGCGACGTCGTCCTATGTTATGTGGCCGGAAAGCAGTGTGAGGTACTCCTGGAAACACTTCGAGGACATACGGCCTTGACCCAGGACGGGTTGGCATATAGCCCGGGAGTTCGTTGGACTCATTTCAGCCATTTCGACTGCGAACGACCTGGTTTTGTAGTGCAAAATCCAGAATAAAACCATGGTGGTTCGTGATTCAAATATAATTAATAAGCAAATTTAAATATAGTATATACTGTATACCTAATGAAACAAAAACCTATAAAAACGTAGGTCCCACTTGAAAGGTCGAGGTTCTGGGGGAAAACCCGGGGTCTTCATTTTGAGTGATTCTCACATGCGGTTGACATGGCACAAAACTAACATGTATTCTGCGAAAACGTGTTGATGAGGGTGCCAGCCACAGAGATTCACAACAACCCAATGGCAACCTCCCATCAAGAAGTAAGCATACCACAATCAACAAACAAAGCATGCTCAAAGCACCACTCACCACTCAGCCCCCCTCGTCCAACCGGCCCGGAACCCAGTCCAACAATCTTTTTGAATCTCATTCACTGGATCCAGCCCTGGTCATGCCACTGTCTATAGGCCGCTTGCTGAAATCTCTCAAGTACTCGAGTAACAACTTGCAACGGATGGGTCCTCCTTGCAAGCCGCGACGTGCGGCCCACAAAATCTTCGGATACTTGAACCGAATGGTTCAGTGGGTTGACAAAGTATTGAGCCGTCGGAATATCCAAGTCCATGCGGAGCTGATAAAAAATGTGCTCAAGGGCGTGGCCCTTGGGCATGTGAGGGAACAAAGCGCGGCTTGCTCTGTATGCCTGGGTCGCCATCAACTTGTATCCTTCCAAGAACCCCAAGCCAAGTTCAGTGACCTCCTTCGCAACGCTCCGAGTAAGAAAGATGTCAGACTGGTACATGATCCGCATGGCTTTATCAATCTTTCGACAACTGTCCAACGAAAGTTGCATCAAACCATCTTGTGTCAAATCCTGCTGCTCCGCCCATGCAATGAAGAATTTGATCAGGGTTGTACTTGTGTGGCCTTTCGACCAGTACCCATTTGGGTATGTCGCTTTGTCCATCCATCCTAGGACGGGACGAGTTATCGCATTCAAGTATGCATGCTCCCGGTTCTCGTTGCACCACGTGACAAAAATGCAACTCAGCTGTTCCAGTCGAGAATCAACACTCGTCGCCCACATGTAGTCGGAAGCCATTGCTAGGCAACCAGCGGCCAAAGACTTTGCCACGCCTAAATGAAAGGAATGAAACACGTCGAAGGTATAGAAGGCGGGCTGCTGACCTGCAATGTATGGAATCTGGTTGAGGGATGGTTCTCCGTCAAAAGGACTCTGGGAAAAGAGCGTAGGAAGCCAAGACGGAGTTCGATTGGGGCCACCGTAGCCTTCCCAATGAACATTGCGTTGCCCTGCGCAACACATGTGGCAGATCCCTTTTGGCGGGTTCCCGTCAGCTTTTGTTGGCTGCTTTGGGACGTTCTGATATGAACGATTGAGCTGCCCTGCTTTGATTTGCCACTGCCAGTCACCGCAACACTGGAGTACGCAAGCTCTGAAGGTGTTTCCTTGGGAATCCTTGACGCCTTCTCGAAGCATGTTGCAAGCGTCGTCGGCAATGAACCTCAAGATGTCCTTCAGCGCCAAGTGGTCTCTCATCATTTTCGGAAGGACGCTTGTCAGCATCCTATGGAGGTATGAATGACCTCCATAGTTGAGACGAAGTTGGTGATAAGGTCGTCCCTTCCTGACAGCATTGGCTTCACGTGTGCCAAAACCAATGTAGGAGTAGAAGGATATGCACAGAAAACCAGCTTTCTTCCTGCCGCGACCTTCGTCGCCGTGCAGCATCAACGGCACTGTGCGGGAAAGGTCCACCTTTGAAGCGTCTGCCAAAGCAAAAATTTCATGCGATGGGCGTAGTGCTCGAAGCCGCTCCCAAAAACACAGGAGGATCTTTTGTTCCCGTTCTGCATGGGATCGGTTCAACCCCACTAAGACATGCCATGCACCGTGCTGAACGATGAACTCCAGCCAAGACTTAAGGCTCATCACGTTGATGTCCCCTGTGTACAAAACCCCAGGAGTCTTGGGAAGCAAAGTCATATTGACTGGAAGGGCCAACTTGTAATCGACAACAACTTTTCTGACACCACGTTCGGAGGCGGATTGGTGGCATTGAGACAACTCGGAAAGACCTGGACTTCTTTTCGCTCCCTCATGACCGATGTCAGCAACAATGCTCTTGGCCGCTCTGATTGCGGCCCTGCATGATGTGGCCTGGGCGAGCAAGCAGCAAAACAGAACATGGCACGCATGAACAAAAGCACGTTTACACAAACCGCTTTCCTCTGGCAAAAGCATAAGCAACCACACAACACTGAACATGCTTGAACTGCATTCTCCAAATCGTTCCAAATCGATTTTACAGCCACAATGTGATTGACTGCAAGGAAGTCCGAGCGCACGCACGCACATGCATCACTTCTATTTACCACCATGATTATCATATGAATCCATGTCTTGTGCAGCTACTAAACGATGGAAGACATGTGCGTGCGAAAAGCACTTCCCAATTGGACATTGGAGACGGGAGCGGCCCTTCCCCTAAGTAGGCTTCACCTTAAAGGATCTGTACACTATGTAAACCATGCTCGCATTCCATTCCGATTGCTGTAGGTCCACATTGTCCCCACCAGAGCGAACATTTCGGCACCCCGGTTTACCTTAGCTAAAATCGATCGATTGAGAGACAGATTGTTGCAGGACTGCGCAGGCATACAGCCATCGAACATTGCAGTCAAGTCTCATGCATGAGAACAGTGAGAAGATGACTCACTAAACAAGAAAACAGTCCAAGCTTGACAGATAAGATACTTTGGTACTTCTCAATCAAAGCTGCTTCCAGCATAGCGGGGCTGTATGCTTCATCTGCTATGTAGACTACGTACATGTTACTCCACTTGTCTCTTGCAAAGCTGTAGCCATAAACAGGGTTCTCCCACCTGAAGATGGGATTGTGTGTGTACCCAAACTTGAAGATCATGGGGTCGTGTTTCTGAAACAACGTTTCAACTACCCTCACAGCATGTTGGAGCACCACTCCGGCAGTTGCTTTTAGGGGAGGCAGGCGGAAGCCGATGCATTCCCTGGCATGGAGCATGTCCTTCAGGCCAGGCAAAGCTTGCAAATGTGGAGGCAGCAGTGATATTTGGTCAAGGCTTGTAGATCGTGTAGGAGTTGCTAAAGGTCTTGGAGTCCCATCGTGTTTCCGCTTCTTGCAGGTGACAGCAGTGACCTTTGGATATGGGAATGGCCACTCAGATTCCTGAGTGATGGGGAACGCCAGGGTTTACTGTAAAGAAAGGCATGGTCAGTTAAAACCAGTTTGATGGTAGAGGTTGAACGGAAAATAATTCAAGTCCATGTGTGCGACAAAAGACCTCTTTGAAACCAGCCAAGAATCAGAGCGATGACAGGTTAGCAGATCCCACAATTCGTCTTCCGGGTTCTCATCAAAACCATGGCTAGGGGTTGGGTAGTGCGGCATCCTGTGGCGTTATGTGACATGATGCGTTCAATATGTATACGCCATATTTGCGCGCATGAATGTTTGCCAGTGCTCATTCCATCAGACGGTTTGCAAAACTGTTTGGGATGTCCCAGGAGCTTAATGTTTATAGTCTGATCGAACGCAAGAATGTCCTATAACAAAAAAACCCTTGGGCCACAACCTTATTTTGAGAAACACCTGGATCGGTTTATACATGCGACCAAGACGAATGGTGCGTGGCCACTCTCAAGATTGCACAGATTGTGACTTAAGGCGAAGACTCCTTCACCCACGTCACCAGCAAGTGTCCGAAGAGCCTGCCCTGCACCTGGCATGCCGGAGGGCTGGGTCAAGCTGGAAGGTTTCGTGGGGTCACTGGGGAAAAGTCTGGGAGTTGGATGTCATCTCATGCCACCACACAAGATGACTACTCAGGATGCCCACACAAGAGGTGGACACCAGTAACATCCAAGCATCATTCAATTTTTTCCTGCCACATTCCCCGGATACGGCAGCGACGTCATGAAGTTCAAATCAACACCAGGCACTGCGCAAACAGTCTTGCGTATATAGGTTTGTCAGCACTGAATTCCGGGAACATGGTTTCATTTGGCTTCGAAAACTGCAGTGTAGCGCCAAAGGTGTCTAGCGAGCGGGATGTACACCACTTTAATTTGACAATGACAATCTCCGTTGTCACAGCGCCACAGGCTCCACCCCGTGCATATCACACAGGATTCCCGCATGCGCCCCCAAATTGAAACTGAATCCAAGTGGACCGGTTGGGAAAAAGATCCTTCCTGGAAAGTTCAACACCCTACTCATTACCCTGACCCTTCCTTTTGGGTCGCTTTGAACCCTTGGAACTGGTAGCAGCACTCTCCTTGTCAAGTTTTCTCTTATTTGGTTTCTCTCCCTTGGTAGACTCCGCTTCCTTGATGTCCTTCTTCTCGTACTTCTTTGCATTCCTGCACCGGGTCGTATGACATCAAGGTGGTTTCAAGGTGGTATAGTTTCAGGTCCAAAAGGTCAACTGGTCGTGGAACCTCGCTATCATTGCGATGACTTGTTTGTAAACAGTTCACGCCAAGGCCTGATCTTCATCTCGCTTGCGCAAGCCTTGCTGCACCTTGCTCAAGAGGGTAACAGGGCTGGCTGGGAAAGGGTCTGAAGGAATGTGATGTCCGAAACACTCACCCAATCAGACCCCCACACCATGGTAGCTTCCTTCATGCAGGCAGTGGCCTTGTTCACGAACCTAAGGGCTGAACGCAATCTTGTTCGTGCTGATTATGTTCAAAGATCTATTATTTAATGCATTCGATTCAAGTCTGTGAATCTATGGCAAGGAACTCAAGGCCCCAAGCATTGGCCTCTCCATAAGCCCACACAGCATGGCACTTGTCATATTGCTCGTCCAAGTGCCTCATGCCCGAGTGCAAGATAGTAAGATTCCTGGGCGGAACGGAGCAATGATAAAACATTATCAATTGACTTTTTGCATGATGCATGGATTGGGCCGACGAATGGACCTCGAGCTATTCCGTTTCAGTGTTTTAAGTGTATAACGACGTTTGTGAAGCTGGTTGGTACTACCTGCTCTGGAAAAAGAACATGGGCCTTTGCATACCAACCCAAACCCACAAAAAGGGTCAAGGCACGTTGAAGTACTGTCACAGCTGGCATACTTGTCTTTGAGTTCCCTCACCAAAGAACGGATCTTGCCTGCTTTCTGAAGAACAGATTCCAAGAAGCGCTTCAGCTTGTCCCGGGTCTGACCAAGGGAGAAAGAAGCAGACATTGCAGATGAATAGACAGGTTCCCCACATGCAGGCGTGACCTCATCTCAAGACCCTCACCTCCAGCTCTTGCGAAGCGCCCTTTGTTGAGGCACCAGGCTCACCAGAGGCAGCTTCGGCCTTAGCCCGTGCCTCCATTTGGTTGATACCTGCAAAGCAGTTGTCCTCGAGCTTGGGAGCTTCGGTGGCCTAGGAATGTCAACAGTTTTATCATGAACATTGAAGACTAGAGCTTTCATATAGTCAATTGGCATGCATACCTTTGAGAGCTGTGTAATTATTTACCTGATTGCTTGAAGTTGAGCGACCTGTGAAAGCTTGCGCTGGATCTCCTCCTGTGAGGTCTGCTCCTCACGCTGGCCTCTCTCTTTCACAACAACGTAGTATTCCAGACACCCGTCGTAGGAATTCTTCCTCCAGGATACGGAATGCAGAAAAAAAAGACAAAGTGGCATGATGCGCATCTTCAAGACATAAGCCTTCATAAGCCTTCCAATGAAGATCAAACCAGCTAACTCTCCTGACATGTGTATCGGCTTTTGCCTCACAGGCACGCTTTGCTCCAGCAATCTTGGCCCTTAGATCAGTGAGTGACAAGTCAGGCGAAGTGTATTGAATGGTCGTTATGTCGAGTTGTTTTTGCTTAACTTGACACCTTGTGTGAAACATTCAGGCTTGTTGTCACGCTGAGGAACGCAGACCATCCAAAGTCATCCTTCATCTCTTTCTCTGACAGCCATTGTTCATCGATGATGAGGGTCATGCTTGATTTCTTCTTCACCACGATTTCGAGTGTCGCGATGAAGCCTTCCTGTCACGCTGCAGCAAATGGTTTATGAAGCTGCGGCTCCGAACAACCACAAGCCATCACAAGCATTTTGTGATGCGCCCTCTGTGCACATACACGGGTATGCATATACAAAACGCCGGTTCGAGGTGTCCTTGGACCAGTTCGCGTTGATCAGAATCTGAGCCATGGAGTTCTGATCTTGCGTCCGCCATTGTTCCTTAACCCAATCAGGCACATTCAACCCTGTTTTCTTCTTATGTTCTTTCATCATTCTGCGAAGTCTGGCTTTCGCTGCTTCTCGCAACTTTTCCTGCAGGAGTGAAACATTTGTAGCCGAAACATGGCAAGCAAACACTGGCACAATGGTCACACAAAGGTAAAACTAAACAATATTAAAGCTCCTGGCGGGTTCTTTTCTTTGTTGGTTCCTGAGAAGTCGTAGTTTTGGCCTGGGTGGTTTTGAGGCGACGCAACTGAATGTTCCAAAACATCGCGGAACATCAGTATGGTTCCAAATGGTCCAAGTGTTCGAAAATTTCCAGGTTAGAATTCTATAATATCAGGCTGAGAGACATCAGTACCGAGATCTGCCGCATCTGGTGCTTGTGACCGGCTTGGCGTAGCAACAGGGCGAGACGTGGTCTCATCGTCCTGTGCAAAAAATCTTGTAACGACAAATTGGTAACAATGTTTCAACAACATGCATGTGTTGTAAATAGAGGCGCAGGTACTCGCAATGAGACATTATAATAAAGAACCCATGCAGGACCCCACCTTCTGGTGTGCCTCTGCGAAACTAGATGCCTCCAAGGTTGTTTCGCTGGGTTCTGCTGGACTCTGCGTCACGCGAAGGCCGGCAGCTTGCAGTTCGGTTTCTGTTGCCTCAACATGGGCGGCAACAAAGGGGCTTCAAACACGGAGTAAAAGTGGTGAAATGGAGTACGGTGGAGCCACGCTATTGTTTTCCCACATTAACTGATAAGGTCGGACGTGTGTTTTTCAATTTGTTGACATACTTACAAAGTCTTCTTCTTCGTTCATGTTAGCATGTCGTTTTGTTAATAAGGAACTTTGGTTGACTTGCCTACTGACTTGACCCTCGAAAGGTGTCTGACCTAGTGTGAGCCTGTCAATTCGATCCCAAACGCCTCCTGAGTTGGCTCCTCAGGAGATGCATAGTGCTCAGCAGGCGTGGTTCCCAGTGCAGCGAGGCCCTGGCAGCCAGTATGATGGGTGTTCAAACCACCACCATTCTTCAATTGCAAATCAAAAAGGAGCGTAGAAATGGAAGCAGGAGACTGAATTCCTGTTGATCACACAACTTATCCATTGTACTCGCCACGCAGACGAGCAACAAATTGGCCTGCCTGGGGAGCGGCCTGTTCCCTTTGTTCCCTTTCCAGCTCCTGTTTGAACGTGGGCAGTCATGAGATCACACACTACTCGTTAACGGTTGTAGGCCCAAAAGATTCACAGCATGGTTTAGTCGCTTGGAACTGGTCCTGTATTTGCATTTGCAATTCAAGCTCCTCTTGGTCAAGAGCTTGCGCACTAGAAATCACGTGGTTCAAACCATCTTGTAGAGTTGCACAACTCCACACTCGGGATGATGTAAGATCTGACCCTACAGACATCCCGAGGACAAAAAGCGAATCTAAACTGCTGGGCACAGCCGGCAACCCTGGAAAATGTTGCTGCAGGAGCATTGTTCCAAGCACATCGCTCAAAAACGAATGTTACAGCATGTGAAAGCCTACGAACCGTTCCAAAGCACACTCAGCACAGCCAAAAAGGCGGATTACATTCAATGTTTCGCACGATGTTTCCACAATAAAGTAGTAGATTCCCACACCGGTCGTATGGCGACCAGGATTGAATTAGGAAAATGTCATGAAACGACGTCCTCTGGGAAAGCCCTCAGAACCCATAGAAAATCTACGGGTTACTACGGGTTTCTACGGGTTTTCTACGGGTTGGGAAAAGCCGGGGTTTTCCTGAGAACCCTGGCTTTTACGGTTATCCATGGGTTCCCCACGGTTTGCTACGGGTTTTCTACGGGTTCCCTGTCCAGAGCCAGAAAAGTGTGTTTTTTTGGTTAAAATGCGTCCAAAACTCATCATGGGCGCCTGAAAAGCACAAGGTTTTGATATGATGAAACAACACTAAGCAATCAAGAGCCCACCAAATCCATCAGAAGTAGCTAAAAGTTCCGTTGGGCAAAATCAGATTCCAAAAATGCCGGGCTCTGAGGGTAGGCATCCCAAATTACTTGAAAGCATCCGGCTTTGGGATGATACAGGACCAATCCGCAGGGATCGCCAAGTGCTTCCCACGGCGTACATATTCGTACACCTCCCCCAGTTTGCAATACCCGAGGTCAAGGCCATCCACTGGCAGTGCTTCAAAAGAGGCCTGGGCAGTGGGCAAGACTCCCGGGAGAGGCGGTTGGCCGTGCGGCGTGGTGGTGAGCTGGTCGTGGAGGTCGACCACACATCGTCCGAACTTGACCGTGTATTCCCTGAGTGTGGTTGAGAGGCACTTCAAAAAAGCAAGAAAATATATAGCTGTACAATGGCGGGCACGGGTGTTAGTGTTGGCTATTTGTTGGGTATATATATTGCACGAGCTACTCGTAATATATGAAAAGAAGTGAATTGTTTGGATGACCTTTCTCTTTGTCCCTTTCCCCATATTCCACCTGTATTCATGGGAGAACCCTTGTCCAAAAGCCACTAACACGGGTCAACAAAGGACAAAACCATACTTTTGGTGGCCCCCTTTTGTATCCCAAAAGCTTTCTAAAACGACATATAGAACAAGGGCGCCACCAAAAGTCGTTTGGGGACTCTTAGCCTTTCTTGGCAAGTGTCTCTGTTTGCTTAAGATGCTTGGTGCCTTTGTAGCATTTCTTGCCGCTTTTGGATTCGTAGGTGACTGCCGTAGCAGGTCCCTTTCCCTTCCGCTTCTTCCACCCCTGCAGGATCCCACGATCCAAAGACCTGATGAACGGTGAGTTGGAGTAGGCAAAATGCCTTTTCGGCGTCCTCGCATCATAGTGAGACATCCACCAGCCGACCCGAAAGACCTAGGTTTCATGTCGGGGGCAGGGGGGCAAGAACCCACACAGATTCATCATGCCCGGTTGTGTTTCTTGCAAATACCCGTGTAATGCCGGAATGGCACTGAGCTTCCATTCTGGCAAAGGTAGCAAAGTCTCAAAAACTCAACAAAGGCAGGATAGAACTCCATGTTCGAATTGCGAGGCTGCTCCAATACAAAAGTTCCTCCAAGGCATACCACCACCACCATCAAATATAAGGTCCTTACAAGCGTGGCCATCCCAGCAACTTGGATTGTGTAGCCCAACAAAACCACCAAGCAACCTCTAGGCCCAGGAAAAAAGCAAAAGATTGACTCGAACACTTGAGAGTTGAGATGTTTTCCAAATTCAACTTGTCAATATTCCAGTCTACTCCAACAGTATTATTCTTTGGGTACTACCGGGGGGTCTCCACAAAGCCCTGTGGTGGACAAATAGTAGCGCAGAGTTTCCGTTCCAGCATGGCATTGCTAGTGGATACTGAGCTGTACTCATCGAAGCCGATCGATGCGCAGGGGGATCTATTACTCGTGCCGGAGTTGATAGCTGTCCAGCTCGCACATTTGATGGCAAAGCAACTGAGGAACTTTCCAGGTTGACTTTTCAATATGCACGCGAGAGCCAACCTGAACTGACCCTGCCTAAAGACCACCCAATGAGACATGCAAAGTAAAACAAAAGCTCTTCAAATTGTCCTCGTGACTCAGCAGTTTTGCAAAGGCGGTTATATTGTATTACTGTATACGCTCCATGCATTTAAAGGAACATACCGGAACATGAAACCATGATTCAACAGCCAGGGAACGTGAAGCCAGATGGCGACAAAATATCCATGGGGTTTGAAGTATGGGCCCGATTCCCCTCGATACTGTACTTAATATCCAGGCTCCCGGTTCTGTAGCCGCTGACCCTCATGGCCTTGGAGAGATTTGCAGTGCCAGCGTAGAACTCAAGGGTGTCAAAGACAAAGTCCTGGCAAAGGGCCGGCGTAGCCTCTTCTCACAAACGCTTGGGGAAATATTGCATGATGAATGGGTCGGCACAACATGCCAGAACACTGTTTGCGTTGCTTTTTTTAGAAGTTCAAGGTGGCAATGAAAACACAGGCCCAGTCACTGGTCCCTATTCAGATGACCTTTACATTGACGTGAGCAACGTGGCAACTGCTGTCAAAAAGATACCTTCTCAAAGCATCCCAAAACCTTCTCATCGATCGATCTTCAGTAAACAAAAATCTAGCAACGGAACAACTATAAGACCTTTTGAAACACCTTCCATGCAGTCCCAAGCTCTCATGCCAGGCCTCACTGACGTCAAGCGTTGAAGTCCAAAGCACACAAAGGACGATGGAGGCGACCACCTGCAGATTTCCAGACAGGAAGGGCTTTTGATGATATTTTCCAGAACAGTTCTGTGAGGAAGTTACTTGCTTTATCAAAATTGATGTGAACCAAGAAATCTGGTCACTTCACTCCTTAGCCCCCAACCTTAGGACATCTCATTTGGAGAAGGCGGTACATCAAGGCATCTAGGTCATGATTAACCGGCATGGTCGCAATCTTGACCTCCGCCTGAAAAGCCGACTACCTGCTGCCTTTGACCCACTGGATTGCTGCAGCATGTTGCTTCACACGTATACGGCTCTCATGGATAGATTCGGTGAGTCGCGATTGAGACACGCAAGCACAACTTCACAACGATTTGCCTTATGGTGCCAGGTCCTTTGTGCCCTTTTTGTTTCTCTAGGTATTAAAAACCCACAGCTGCCCCACAGTTTTGAAGCAGGCCAGGTGTTCGTTTTGTCTTGGCAAACTTGGTTCTCACTCTGAAGAGATTGCGCCGGCCAGGCATCGGACACCAGCGAACTTCCACGAGAAGCTTTTGAAGGCCTGGCATGGGCACGGGTGGCAGAACATTGGGAAATATACATGCGAGAAGCAAAGAAGGAGAGGACACCTATGCAGTTGACTTAGGTGTATTTCATCACGACTGCTTACCCCGCACATGCAAGAATATGTTTAACGATTTTTCTTCTTACTGACCTTCTTGGATTAACGATCAAAACAAACTTGGACTGTGGCTTGAATCCCGGAAATTATAGTTTAGAGCTTGCGACCACGGTCACTACCCATTGAAGTGAACAATTGATGGAATACAGGAAGAAGTGAGGCCACAAAGTTCAACCAAGTATCGTTGAATGGTTCTGCTATCGCACGGCTTCGAACCCCCAACTCCCCCGCAAGAGGTGCCATTCTTTTTGCCCAACTAAGCGCCATTGCGCACAGCTTTGCCACTGTTCTGCACAGGAGCTTGCCGCCTAATGACACTGGATCCCATTTGACAAAGTGTTTGTAGGCTGAAACTCGAAAACACCAAGCCTTGCCCCTGCGTTGAAGCCAACATCTTTTTTGTGCCATGGACCATGGGACATAAATATATAGATTACATGAAGCATGGACGGCGAGAGGAAAGCCAGTGTCTCAGTCCTATGGCAAGCGCCCTGTAGTTTCCCCATCCCCATTTCATGGCTAACTGCGCCCCATTGGACACAAACTCACATCAAAATAGATGGCCCACAAAGGAGCCAAGAAATTGAGACTTATATCTCATCAAACTGGTTCTCAACAAAATGTCGCACTCATGACTCCTCCTGATCATTGCCGTCGGCCAGAGCGCTGCCCTGGTCCACACTCTGGTCGTTGGCGAGCAAGAACAAAGCCAAGTTCGCGTTGTGCTTCAAGATCTTGATTTGGTGGCCATCCTTCTCGTATCCCTCCTCCTCCTTGTCGATGCCAATAGCCTTAATTATATAAGACAAGGAAGAAAGTAAGGGGCTGCAAGAGGTCAGCCCTGATTCGATTTCAGCTGCCCGCATTCAATCAGTCGGCTAACAAAATGGTATTGTATAACCAATTACCTTTATGACCGGTTTAGTCATGTTGGGTTACACGCGCGGATGTATGCCACCCCGTATACCCGTATGTATAGCTTCGGACACCTTGTTCTTTCACGCTTCCCAGCTAGCAAATAAGAAATTAACTGTGCTTTGGCTATGGTCGGGAATATGGATTATGTTCCACGTGCCTATCTTTGCAAATGAGTAACTGCCAGTTCAGCGCAACGCACTGCAATGGCTAGCTTGCAGCGGCGAGGGGCACTGGAACAATTGAATGTAAAGGTCTCCCGGTCCATGTACTGATTTGCCTCCATGTCCCATACTTTGACCCCACATCCATTCCTAGTCCAGTATGGCATCAGTTTTGTCCACTCCAGCGGCTGCATGGTTTGCCCGATTGCCTTCTTCAATTTGTCGAGGTCGTTTTCCAGTTCTTCAGGGAATTGATGGACATGGTCTGTCAGCCCATTGAGAAGTTCAACCCTGAACAAAGGGCTCTCGGTCATGTGAGTAGAGTCACCGCTTTTCTTGGACTTACGCTTGGGTTGGGCTTTTGCCTTCCCCTTCGCTGCTGCCTTCGCCTTCGGTTCGGCCTTTTCCTTGGCGGCTTGACGCTTGTTTGCTGCAGCTTTAGCTTTGGCCTTAGCCTTGGGATGCTTTACCTGTTTGTCTTTTGTTGCGCTCTTTGCGGCTCTTCCTTTCGGTGCTGCACTACCTGCTGATCGAAGGTGCTTCCGTTTCCTGGAAACTGGCACCTTGGTCGGCCAATCCTCATCATACCATTCCTCACCCCATCCCTCTTCCTCCTCCTTCTCCTTCTCCTTGCCATTCTTTTTGGCCTTCTTCGCTTGTTTCCTCCCTTTGTTTGTTGTTTTTCCCTTCTTTTTGCCTTGAGATTTTCGACCCTTGCCATTTCCCTTCCCCTTCCCTTTGCCCTTCCCTTTGCCCTTCCCTTTATCCTTTTTTGACTTCTTCAACTTCAGTTGTTCCTCCCTCGTCACAAACTCCTCGGCGTGGTCCATCGCAACATCCTCAAAAGGGATTGGAAATGCTACCCAGACTACCACATGTAGTATGCTTTTGGATGCGGTTTCAAATCCTGCGTGGAACACGATGCGCCCAAAGTGCATGCAAAATCATGCCATGATCTCAGGTCCAATTCTAGCCACCACCCCCCGGTCCTTCACTCCAACCTCGCCCTCTGCAGGACCTTCTGGTGAAGCGGATGGAGCAGGTTCTTCAGGAGCATCACTGGGATTGGGATCTTGCTTGCCCTTGACATCTTGGAAGTTGGCACGGCGCTCTCCGGCTGTCAGTTCGGGAGAGGTAGTGGGTTCTGGCGACTTCTCTCTAGCAAACTTAGCCGAAGCCTCTGCTGTTTCCTCATGGGTCATGGGCAAAGTCTCCACTGCATCGACTGGAGTGGCTTTCTGACCTACCACAGCCGGAACCAATGGGGGCGGAGAGATCAAGAGAAAGGAGTGGAAACACTATGCTTTTCCAAAAAGGTTGCCATCAGATATATTGTAGCAGCATCAGCATCACCGTCATTTCTATACACTCATTAGGCAAGGAAAGCAGGAATATCCACGACCCTAGCCTCCCGATGTTGGTGCTGTTGCGGCAGCCTGGGCCTTCAACGCGGCGACCCTAGGCAGACGCACACATTATTTTACTGGGAATGCAAAAGCCTCTTTGCAACCATTGAGTGCTTTTGACAAAATAGGAGTGTTTCACACGTGAATGCCATGATCCATTTCATGTAGATTATGTAGATTCCGAGCCCTTGACTCAGCCAATCGTTTCTTCGCAGCTTCAAGCTTCTGAGCAATGGTCTCAGAAGAACTAGAAGCACCACCTAGTTGAGCACAAGTAAAAGTGAGATTCAAAACCTCGATCACACTACATCTTTGGTTTTGCCAAGGTTGTTATTGTTGAAGATCAGCTGAACAGGTCACAAGCTTAGGGCACCACCTGTCTCAGCTGCAGGAGAAGCAGCTGGTGGCACGCTAGTGCGTGGAGCAGGAGACGCAGGGGCGGGTTCTTGAGACTGGCTATCCTGGATCTCTACTGCCTTTGGATTGTTGGGAGGGGGTTCTTCAGAGAGCAGGAGAGGGTCCTCTTGCGACGCTTCCTGGGCTTCTGGGTAGTCACTGTCAAAGCCATCCTCATCTTCAATGGGGTCCTGGACATAAATGAACATACCCAGCACACCATACATGGAAAAACACCTTCAATCTATGCCCCAGGTCAAAAGCAATTGGAGACCACGACTAATTAGTTGAGTTCCACAAGGGTGAACATGTTGTCCCTTGAAGCCAACCCAAACCTTGCTATTCCGGGCCCGCTTCTCTTCCGTTTTCTTGTTGATGTCGTTGCAAAGGTCCTCGCAGAAGAGTGGGTGCTGGACTTTTATACTCTTACCATCGGTCCATTATGCCTATATGACTCTGGACGGCCTTGATCGGAAAAGAACACATCAATTTAATATTTGACCGTCAACGACTGACATTCTATTCCCATGACCTGGCAGCATGACATTCAAAACATGCAGTGCTATGTGTTTATCATTTTGACGCCCACCTTATGTCTGATTTGTTTTCTGACCCCGTGACAAACCCATCCACTACAACTTGTCACACAGAAGCGCTTCTCCTCAAGTAGTGGGTTGAGAATCAGGCAAAGTTCTTGAAAGCGGCGTTCCTTGGGGCATCACACACCGCGCAGTGAAACATGGGTCAGTACGGAAAGCCTTGAGTTGAGTACTGTGGGAACCCACTACAAACAAAACATTTCTCAACTACGTACCGAAGGTCGCAAGAAGGTTTCTCTTTTCTGGCTTTCATCTTCACCAGGCCGAGGAATTTGCGGGTCATCCATGAGTCGTGAATCACTTGGGCCTCATCAATCTGTTTGCTGAAGCCCTGCTTGTACAACAAAGTGATCTCTTCCCTCAAAGGGTCGACTAGTGGTTGTGGCCTCCCTTCATTTGACGCCATCCTCAACAGGAGCGGAATGAGGTAGCCGTGGATGTGGGGGAGCGATGCGCTTTTCACGGACTCTGTAATCTTTTCGGGAAAGATCACGGCATCAGGCTCACGGAGGTGTGCTCGCAAAGCATTCACCTGCTCCCACTCCACGTTCAAACCTGCAACTGGTAAGCCGAAGGCTTTTGGCGCCTCACCACCATCGAAAGACGGAGCATCTCCCATGGTGCAAACCAAGAACGATTCACTTCAAACTTTGTGCCCAAATGTCCTGCAGATACAAAACATGTATCTAGAATCTAAACATGATTTGTTGGATGATCTGCGGGCACAACTCCATTTGATATCAAATTCCTTAGACTGTCCATGGCTGAATGCAACCTTAACTGGGGTTCTCCAAACCTGTCCGTTTCTCTCTTTCCAGGAGCGGGAGACAGCGCGCCTCCAACATCTTTCTCCAGATACTTTCCATGGCAGCCGGTGAGTCCAAAGAAAAAAGCTGCTGCAGCCCCGGGTACGATCTGTTGATTTGCTCATTCTATGGAAGAGGTGTCCCCGGTGGAAGCTTAAACAAATTCGATGTCAAAGGTGTCCAAGTTGCTTCGTGACATGTTTCCTCACAGTTTGTTTCCCGAGTTAGGAGTCAAGAAGCCAATGTTTTGCACCTTTGGGCACGCAGCGTTAATTTCATGGTTTGCATCACACCTTCAAGTTGAGAAGGATTGGGGTCAATCAACCCTGCATGTTCCAGCCCATGACTCGCTATCAGCGCTCCTTTGAGCCTCATGCGAGCTCAACCTGGGTTAGAGCAGGGCTAGATGGGTGGACCCTCTTCATAAAATTCCCTCACAAGGCTCTTTTCTAGCCTTCTCTGGGAAAACCCGAGGTTTTCACAGAAAAGCCGAGGTCTTGGCCATTCAGCCCTTCAAAGACGAGGTTCTTCTTCAGAACCTACATTTTCCTAGGTTCTTATCTCTTTAGGTATATGATCTCAATGGTGGGCTAGGAAGCCTAGGGTCAGTATTCACCAGGTTTCAAGCCGGTTTCAAGAGATCTTCGTTTTTCGACCCCACGACTCAGCATTTGAACCACTCGGAATGTGTTTGCAGGAATGCTCTTCCAGCCTTTTGCTGTCCCTACTCGAACCGGTTGATTTGGTGAATCCATTCTCAGTTTACGAGGGACCAGGGACCATCGGCGACCATCCTGTCCTGCGGACGTGTGCCAGCGATTGGTGATTCCTTTTTGGCCTCCCTCCAAGCAGGATGGAGCCGACAGGATCCCCTTATTGAGGACAATGGGATCAAAAGGGTCTTCCTTCGGGGCCTAGGCTTCCACTTCCACTTCCAGTTTCAGGGAGTGTAGGAACTACTTGCTAACCCACTGTCGTTTTGTATGGGTCCCAACCAACTTGAAGGAACAACTTGCTCCTTCGATGACTGGAGCCATCGATGACTGGGTCTGAACCGCCATCGATGACTCGGTGAATTCTTTTTGGATTCACACGAATCAGTGATTGAAGCCTTGAGGAGTCAGAGTGAGTTAGGTGCCGAACGAAAGGAGGAAGGAGTACAGGTGCCCCGTCGTCACATCCACGAGCCCTGGATGGGACGAACCAAACCACCCAACTCCAGGTCCATGTGATTCCATGTGATTTTTTGGGGGCAACGGATGTGGCAGCGCAAGGTGAGTCTTGGATTTTGGGCGACCGGGAGTCGATGGCATACGCTCCATAGGCTGTCTAAGACGGCTAGTTCATGACTCATCATTATACCCCGGCTTGGTACTGGTGGATGATGGCTCCCAGGTGGAGAATGTACCCTGAGTCAAGACGGAAGCTGGGGAAGCCGGCACGTTTCATACCTCAATCAAGTCTGACCTTCGACCTTCAGTGCCTTCAATGACGAAGATCCCCGTCCTGAGCTCACAAAGAAAGAACTCCTATGACTACCCCAGAACTTCCGTACTGACTCATGAACTACCCAGCTGGTTGTCATATGTTGTCATAACCTACGACTATCAAGGGGGTAAAACTTAGTCAGGATCTCCCAATAGACCTATACCTGGAAACCCATACAGATCCAGACAAGTGATGGTAAACCCTCCGGAAACCCTCCGGTAAATACCTGTGTCCTCGTCCCGTCCTGATCGCGCACGCAGAATGGAGACATGAAAGCGTCCTGCGGCTCAGGGCGATTGGCTGCCGATTCGACACCAAGGACAAACCTACGAACTCATGGCTGGAAGCCACAGACAGCCGCGTGTCGTGAGTGGGTGGCCAATTCTGATGGGTTTTCAACAGGTTGAAACATGTGGAAACCTGGCATCTTCAGGTGGCAAGCTCGCTTGGAAGTGGATCAGATATTGAACAATACCTACCACGACCCTCCTGTCGGGGTGTCTATTTATAGCCCCAAACAGCCGTGATTCGGGTGTCCATTCACCACCCCTTTTTCAGGCCATGATCCGTCAGGTGATCCGTATGATCCCCGAGATCTCGCCCCTGGCTGGGGTTTGCTGCCCCCAGTTCCCTGCCGCCAGTTCCCTGTCCCAGTTCCCTGCCGCCAGTTTCCTGTAGACTCTACCGAACTGGGGTTGAACAGGGGGAGACCGACCGTACCGTCTCCTCCACACGGAAGACACCGCGAATCGCACGTCGTCTTCAACGTCGTCTTGACATGTGTGATGAACGTGAAGAAGACACGGCCGGCGCTCGTCGTCCGGGGAAGCCCGATCAAAGAGTTGGACACTGCAATGTGGCTTGCGAAAGGATGAAAGATGATGAAAGATATCAATAACAACATGGATGGATGGATGGATGGATGGGTCCAAGAAAAGATGGGGACAGTCCACAATGCAATCTCTTGATTGATAAGACCTCCATATCAAGAGGTTTTGCAATCCACATCAGGGGCTTATTAATCAAAAGTCTACATTATGTTGCACCAGGGATTCGTCATCCAAAAAGGCTGACTTGTTCAGAACTAGGCAGTGAAAGGCTTGGATTCATGTGGCAGCTTGAGCAAGCTAGAAACTGAGTGATGCCTGTTTTGGAGCCCAAAGATGGTCTCTTCCGAACAAAACTGAGCGTCGATCTCTGGGTTCGAACGTGACGAGATCCATTTGTCAAAAATTGAGGCCTTGGAAGAAGGACAAAGAAAACTGGGGCGGGCTCTCCCTATTCACCTAATCAGCAGTTTCAGAGGAATTGTTTTTTGTTCCATCCAGTGAGTGGATGTTCTTGGCACCTTTATCCTCCAATGGGCACTCCTTTTGGAACTGCTGCTTCTAATACACACATATTCTGGCATGCACCTCCAGTCAACCGGCAGCTATCAGCTCAAAACCAAGGAGTCTGAAGGAGGCACAAGATCATCGACCGCGATTTTTCAATGTTCTTCACTGCTCAAAGCCCAATGCTTCAAGTGCAAAACCACACCATGGAATAGATCAAGATATATAGGGGTGTGTGTGTATTTTATTTTATTTCAACAGTAGGGGGGGGCAACCAATGGATTTGGGTCTATTTCCCTTCTTCCAGGGAGTCGAACTGGTAGGTCTCCCTATTTCTTTGTTCCCAACTGGCTTGACGAAACCCTCATTGGGAGCCGTTGGATGTAACAACGAAGCACCAAAAAAAAACAGAACCACCACGTGTCGACGCCAAGCTGCGTGGCCCTGCCCGAAATCAGCGACCTCCATGGCCATTCATGGCCTACGAGAACTGTGGCAAGGAGGAACTCTTGAAGCTCTTGGCGCTCCGCGATCGCAAGACACCCGGATCGCAAGACGCTCGTTCCGCCGCGCTTGTTCCGTTCTGTTCCGTCCAAGACGCCGGTTGGGGCCGGTGTTCACTCGAAAAGGGGAAAAAGAATCGCGGGGAGAAGTACGCGCGGCAGAAGTACGTGGCAACCATCCTGCGTCCAACGTCCAGAAGGACATCGGTCTCGGGGCGAGGACTCGGTGGACTCGTGGCTGTCGATGCGTTTCGACGATGCACGACGATGGGTTTCGGTACCAAAGCGGTCTGGTGAGGGGGAGGAGGAGGTTCGGTGTCCCTCCCAGGTGCACTGAGAATCTCTTCCAACTTTTCACACACAACTTGCCGCACAAAAAGGTACACATTGAACAACGCGCACACGCGCAACTGCGCACAACTTGAGCTCTCAGGATCGCTCGCTGTGAGTACGAGATCCTCTCCTTGAAAGAGGAGCCGCGGCATGTGACGGTGAGTTGGGCGTGGAGTTTTTGGCATGGAAGCGAACCAGATGTGGTGAGTCTGGAAGGCTTTGCGTCAGGAAGCCAGGGTGAAATTCAAGATGAGATGACCTTAGGACGGGACCACCATGGTTGAAGGAGCTTTAGAAGTACAGGCTGTGGGTTAAGACGTGAAGGCCAGTTGAGCCTGGTAGGTTGACTTCCAACATGTCGACAGAGGAGTTGGGCCGATGTAAAGAAAGAGAGGCCCTCTTGAAGACGGAGTTGGCCTCTCGACGGCAACAGTCACAAAGAGCGTGAGAAGGAGGGAGAGGGAGAGAGAGAGCGAGCAAGGGAGAGGGAGGGAGAGGGAGGGAGAGGGAAGAAAACGGACAGCAGGTTCGAAGATCTCACAGATTCTGTCACACGAGCTGGTTGCAAAGAGCTGTCACACGAGTTGTTTAGATGCCCAAAGCGATTCTGAGGCCCATATGGAGGTTTTGTGTGAGGACGATGCGTTGCAAGCCATCCCGGCGAAGCTTGGCCCCAGTTCACCACGCACCGGCTTGCTCGTTCGCGATGCCGGCCAGGCACCCAAGCAGTTTCCACGTGCCCGCAGTGCTTTGCGGGACTTCGAACGGCCTGGGCCTAACAGTGACAACTGAAAGAATGTAGACGCGACCGAGAGACGGAAGAATCTGGATCCAAGAAATCAAGAGTAGAGGAAACATGAGGAAACAAATCAAAAGTAACAACATAATAGTTCAAAAGCGAACCAAACAGCTTTGAAGCGAAAGCTGATGCAAGTGGTTTCCCACACCGCGCTTGGCTGCGTTTCTTGGCAGGGAGGCTGGAAGCCCGACCCCTGTCTCTCCGCAGAACCATCTCGATCAAGCAAAGGAACGCTACGACCAGGCGGGTAAAGACCGGAGCAATTACGTCGCGGCGGCTGAGGATGTCATTTTAATTGTTTTTTCCATCGAGTTCTAAAGGGGTTGTTTTTAGACCCATAAGTGAGTTGATAATAGAAAACACGCCCTGTTGCACCCCTTGGGATCTGTTGGTGCAGTGTGTTTTGTCCTTTTCTTCCTGCCGAAGCGCCGATTGAATCTATGCAATACCAGAAAGACATTGGGATTTGAGGCATCTCGTCTTTTTTTGGGGGGGGGCGGTGTTGCGAATTGAACGTGTACAATTCCGACATTTGATGCGTTGATCCTTGATGCGTCAACGAGCCGAGCTGGCACCAATCAAGACCTGAGGCGTTCAGACTGCTCCGTTTCCGCCGTTGCGGTCCGGTGATTTCCGGAGCTGAGCGAAGCGAAGCTGGCTGAAGAGGACACCCTCCGACTCTTTCTCTGCGGAAAATGGTTTAGTTGGAAGACTAGATCTGTACAAACAGGCAGTTCTTCCTGTAGCCCCCACGTCCTCTTGTGTTCGTGGTGTTCGTCGAGTTTCGTGTCAGGTGCTCAGCATTGCGAATAAGGCGCTGTGATGCGGTCAACAGTTCGGTGTGCTGTTTCGCTGTGTGCTGTTGATTGCGTGTTTTCCATGCATCACTTGCTACAGGAAAACATGAGCTGCTTTACTTTGCCCCGCTTGTGTGATCTCTACTTCAGAATTCTCTGGAGCTGAAATAGTTGATGTCCTGAAACAAGACCCAGATCTATGGAACTATATGAAGCATCTCCACAAACTTGAGTTCAACATCCTTTGATTCCCAATTCCTTTGGCTTACCGCTTCCTCCTCCTCCTCCCAGTGCATGTTGTATCAGAGCTGCCCCCATACCCCATGCCCCTCAGGCCTCTGAGGCATGGACCCGGGTCACTGAAGCCTTGAAAGAGGCGGGTCCAACCGGGCCGACGTTGGAGAACCGGCGCGGTACCGCCACCGGTGACGGGACTGGGTTCAGGCCCAAGGAACCGAGGTTCGTTTGGGGTGCCAGATGAATCCGGCCAATCCTGGGAGGGGTAGGAAGTGGGCCTCGGACTCCTGGCAGAAGTCTGGGCACTGGAAGTCTGGCTTCGATTCTCCCCCTATTCCCCCCAAAATAGGGATCCAGTCGTACCGCACCTCAGGTTATAGGTGATGTGTGTTCAACACTGTTATGAGACGGTGCCAAAACGTCGGGTCCAGTCGTACCGAACCTCAGGTTCGAGGGATTTAGGTCTCGGATGGTGGCTTGGAAGGGACCCTGAACGGAGGCACCGAGCGTTGGGCTCTAGGATCTTGGCCAAGATCTTCTAAGACCATTCAGGAACCTGGTTCCTGATGGTTCCTGTCAAAGGATATCTTTAAGTAAAACATGGCATACACAGACCCATTAAATTAACTGGGCGACCAGCCTCCTCTTTGGTTCAACCGCTTCACAGTTGGATCTACCGAAACGCCGGGGTCCTCAGGTGCAGACGGCTCCCTCTCCTTAGAGGCGACGGCCTCTCCGCCTTTTCCGCGCTCGGTTGAGCGGCGACGAAGCGACGCCGTGGCCCCCGTGGTCAAGCGAGAAGACCCACCCGGGCGGGTCCCCAGCGGAGAGAAGAGATGCGACAAAGAGACGCTTCGGTTCCGACGCAGCAAAGAGACGCTTCGGAAAAAGCAGGGAGTGCGGAAAAAAGGCGAGAGTGGACACTGTCCATGCGAAACAAACGGATTTTGTGGCTGAGCGGAGATCATGGTTTCCATGCTTTTTGTGGATTCAGTCAGTCCAGCAATGTCGGCGGTTGAGGGTTCTGACCCCAGACAGATGGTAAATGATGGTAAAGCATATTGGCCTTTGGTCCGAAATGTTGCATGTAAACGTCGTTGGAAGATCCAGGTCTAAGGGCTAAGGACTAAGGGACTGACTAAGGACTTCCGAGGCGACAGCCGTGAACGAGGGTTCACTCGAAGTGGCTCAAAACGACTTCACCGTGCCCTGGATGTTAAATGGTCTATATACTATACCGACTATACCTTTATACTTCACAAAGAACAGTATCGCCCTTAGACTTCCAGGGTTTACCTCTCCTTCCCAATGATGGTGCCCTTCTTTCGCTGCTGGCCACCAAAAAGGCTCCCCATTTTTCACCACCCGTTTCGATTCACCGAAACCCCACCTTCAGCCGCTCACCTCCCCGGACCTGGTCGGCTCCCGCGAAGCCGGCGCTTCGCGGCGCTGAGGTTCGAGAATTGGAACCGGAGACGGAGATGGCGCTCATCGACACGGACCTCACCGTCGAGGCGCTGTTGTCCCGTCGGCGGTCCGGTCCGGGGTCACCGTGGAGGCTAAGTAGCTATAGCTATATAGCATGACTGGTAACCAGAAGCGTTCGTAGTAGCAAGGCACCTACCCCTACCCTATAGATCCCTATCCCATCTGCTCCTGGTTCAGGTCCGATGTTCAGTCGCAGACGAAGCAAAGCACGACGGGCCAAAGGGGTGACAGCGGAGACGGGGCTGACAGTGACGTGACCTCTTGGGGACGAACTGGAAGATGTGGAGGAGGGACGAAGTGGCTTTTCGTTGATGGTCCCGCCCTATATAGGGCTCCAAGCACCCACCTCCGTTTCGGTTCGGTGCTTGGGGTGGGTGCCAGGGGGGTTTAACCACCGAACCTGAGGATATGGTTAGAGCTCTGGGGTGTATAACATCATTAATTGCAATCTATATACATATTATCTATTGGATTGGTTGGTGTGACAGTGCTGAACAGTCACAGATCCTGGATCGTGAAGCGAGCCTTCCAGAGAAGACGTGGCGGTTGATGTATAGACGTTGGGGTGGCAAGTGGACCACCCTGGGGAGCATGTGGATCCCAGTGCTTTGCAAAGTTCATTTCTTGCAAATAGAGAGTCCTTGAGTCATTCAGATGCGGCTGTGGAAGCAGCCACTGTTTTGTAAATTGCGAGGTCCACTGCTCTGTGACTTGCTGCGGCCAACTCGGCTCGTTGAGCTGACCTTTGCAGCTTTTAGTGGCACAACGATCCGATCAAAACCACATGTTTGGGAGCCAGCTGTTGGCATATTAAACGGACCCTAGGCCTCCAGTCGTACCTTCTGAGAAGGTGGGACTGGGGTGGGTGACAGGAGGGTCCCGTCATACCTACTGAGGAGGTACGACTGGAGGTGTAGGGGGAGGAACGCCAGCGATCCACTAGAGCTGAAAAGAATAGAACAAGAGATCAGAACTCGCAGCAATGCCTCCCTCAAAAGCACCATGCTCAGGAAGTAGATCGATCTAAGTCATTCAAATGTTCTTGAAGCCATTGGGTATAACTATATAATAGCTAGCTTAAAAAACACACACACACACACACCTCCCAAAAAAGTACGTCACCTTGGCGAACCGGGCGAAGCGGGCCACCTCGGAGACGGCTCCCGCCCAGTGGGCCCCATGATCCTGGCCTTATTTCGATCGCTGACGGGACGTCTCCATGGGCACTTGAGACGTCTCAGCGAAGCCGCCGTGGTGCGAGCGATCCTTTTGGCGCTCATCACCTTGCGCCTTGGGCGCCGAAGCCACGCGCGCGCGCAGCAGAGAGGCAAAGGAAGCGCAGAAGCGGTCGGTCGGTGTGGGTTTAGCTTTGGAGGCTTCGTTTTGGGCCTGGCCTACTGGGTGATGGCTTGGTTCCTAGTAGAAATACCCTTGTTACTAGTAGCTTCTTGTTCCTAGTAGCGATGCCAGGAGCTACTATAGTAGCGTCCTTGTTACTAATCGCGATGCCCTTAGTAATCCTTATAGTAACGATGGCTTTGGGGAGAGAGGTTCAAGTACGGACTTTTCGCTCCCAGCGGCTGCAGGAGCTGGTGAACCAAGGGAGTTTCACGTTTCACTGCAGAGGTTGGCAACGAGTCTTCGCGGACGACCGATCCGTTGGCCGAAGACCGACCGGCTCCCGTTTCCGCGGAAACGGGCCACCACCGGTTTCGGTGTGCGATCACGCAGAATCGGATCGGTAGCGGAACGGACACGGGGCGGTGTGCGGCACGGGGAGCCGCGTGCGGTTCCGCGACGACGTTTGGAGGGTCGAAGCTCCGGATTTGGGGGCCTTTGTTCAGGACGATCGAAAGACTGGACGAGTGCGATGCTGAAATGTCCTTCATGAAGTTGGGAAAAGTAGGGTCGAACTGGACTTCTAGGGTATGGCATGGTATGACCATGTTGATGGTCCTTCTTGGTAGCTGCTTTTGGAATTAGTCGTTTTGAGATTCATCCCTTCTAAGGCTTCTCTACCAGCTGTTCGCGATCCTTTTTTTCACCAATGTGGAGGGCTGGACTGCTGTTGAGGACGGGCCAACTTGCTGATCGGAATTGAAGAGAATACCTGGTGACGGGCGATGATGGAACTGAGTGACCAGCCTCCCCCAACACGCGCGTGTCCGCTTTTAAACTTGGACGAGCTGTGTATGCCTTATGTGGATGGAACACGGGTACTGAAGTGTAGGTACAGTGGTGACCGGCCCAGCAGTTCCTTGCGGCTTCGATCCGATTTGAAGCAGATATTCAAGGTCCAAGTGACCAGCCCACACTCAATAGTCTATAGACAAGCTGTGTATTATTCGTTTCGCGGGTGTGGTGTGCATGGAGGCTTTGATTGACCTGTCCAGGCTGCTAGCTTTAAGACTTTAAGCCTTCATGTTCCAAATGTTAACTTAATGGAAAATGCCCTCTTGGAAGAAGGCTGTTCTAAGTCACTGTCGCTACAACATGCTACAAAGATCTACAAAGCAAGAAGCACCAGCCTCCCCTCCCCTTCATCTTCACTTCAGCTACTTAACCAGCACTGGGGGGCCAAGTTTCTAGGCTAAACATGCAGACCGCCTTCACCAGAAAGAACCGTTCGGGATCGTTCGGGACCCGGTTCGGTTCGAGGCGATCTACTTCTCAATGGTCACCATGTCCACCGTGGCCTGGTCTGGATCGAATCTTTCGGGTGATTTGCTTTGTTCTCCCGAACTGGGTACTGTAAATCCCCTTACTTCTGGGGATGATGTTTTTATTTGTGTCTCGGCTTCCTGGACAGCAAATCCAAGGTGGGTTATGGGGATTTGGCACCCACCGTCACCTGGCCCAGTTGGAGAAACGTTCGCGACGCGCAGCGGGGTTCGCGAACTGGCGCGTTCGAAAGCTCGGATGTGTTTGTTCAGCTCTGGTTTGGGGGCGATAATGGGTGCATGGTATGTTTGGGGGGTTGGAGATGGACTTTGGTTTTGGGTGATGACTCCTTTTGGTGGGGCCTACAGGTTTCAAGTGTAGGATTGAAGCTTCGAAGGACAGGAGCTTCATGAAGTTGCTGTTGTGATGTTGACCTGTTCATCGTTTTCTCGGCCCATGTGTGTGGGGGTCAGTCCTGACATATTATTGTGTGTTCAGCTGGAGAACGTTCTTTGCTACTTCTGTTGCAAGTCCTTCTACTAGCAATCCCAAAGCACAGTCTAGGATTTCAAGAACTTCACTTCGTTGAATGTGGTATATAGGCTGGCAACATCAGCGGCAACATCTGCCAACAAACAAGAGTTCATCCGAACGACCTTCAAAGCAGCCTTTCCAGAAATTCCATTGCTTACCGACCCCGTTTTGGTCTCACGGTCACGAACTCCAGGTCCTGATTAAACCTTAATGCAACACGGGAAACCCTGAACTGTCGGGGTCACCTGTTTAGAACAGCGCTGGTTTTCCACGCTGCGCTGGTTAACACGCCGGCCGCACGAACATTTTACAAGCGCGGCGCCGCGGCGCTGCCAGATTTGGTATTCGCAGTTGCTGGGCATTGGCTTCATTTTAGCACCTGGGCATGGAGTTTTGCATTGAATGCCACCTGCCCGGTCGTTGTTTTGGGTTATAGCCATAGCTTTGGAGTGTGCCAGTCTAAATAGATATCTAAATAGTGATCATTCCTGGGGAGAAGCACAGGAGCTGATCGTTGAGAAAGGAGAATGTCATGGCGAAAGGAAATCATTGTTATTGTTCGGTATTGTTCGGTCTATATACAATACATGATGTATGTTTGTGCATTTTTACAGAAAATAGAAGAAAAGCAACATGAAATAGACATAATCGTGTTCCTCTGTGTTTGTTGTCAAAACAACTTGTTGGGGTGAGAACGTGTGGTGGTGTTCTTAAAAGGGTGAGTCGCAGCTTCCACGGTTTCCGCAAGAGCGTGCCGAAAAGCGAGCATGAAGAAGTGGGTGAGATAAACAAGTGGGAGTTGGGAGTGGGTGAGTCATACAGCTATGGTTAAAGCATGTTAAAGCTTAGTTTCAATCCGCCCCGGACAAATGATGAAATGATAGTAGATGTTTATATTGGATAGCATGTTTCTATCTCAATGTGTCAACGCAATTGGTGCTTGTCTTTTGAACGAGATCACCAACCACAATCAAGCACTTCTTGGAAGCTCAACATGTTGGAAAGCTTCCAGAGCCGGTGCCCAGTTTCTGGGCCCCCAAGGTTGGCATCATCGTGGTGTTTGGACAACTTGGCGAAGTAGTTGGATTCGTCATAGAACCAGCCACTCGGCGTGGGTTGGATTCGGGTGAACACACACCCTCACCACACTTGTTCAATATCAGCGTACGATACGGCATGTGAGATCGCTGCGCAGTGCTTGAAGCAGCGATCCCGTGCGCACAGGGAAAATTTGTTTGATCCAAGCAAAGCACGTGCATGCAAGAGATTCCTCCAGAATTTGGGGATCTGAGTAAAGGACCTGCGATTGGCCGAAACTTGTTTTGCGGCCCTATGTGCACGCAAGTTGGAGAGTTGGAGAGGAACAATCTTTATGAACTGGGCAAAACCTTAGGACACCAAGATTGCCGATTCCACCAAAGGGGTGAATCCGGATGCAACATAAACACAGAGGGCTGCATTTGACCTCAGGTGTGGCCTTTTAATGCCTTTTACCTTGAACTTAGCTGCGTCACTTTGCTGCTCAGTTCTTCGATAAGATGCGTGAAGTGCTGGATCGGATCTGGAAGCCAACAGAGATCGAGATCAAGGAAGGCAACAAGGTCCTGAAAAAGATCAAGGCGGGGGAATTTCGATCCCTGCGATGTCTAATTACTTGGATGTTCAAGGGCTCGAACAAGAATCTCCCAAAAACCGTGGAAGCAGTTGATCCTCTGCTGGGGAGCTTGGGTGTGGAATAATGATCTGAGCTTTGAAACCCAGTCCGCAGGCACACATGGATCGGAGGCCCAGACCACTCAATCTATATATGTGTTGACAATCTCAATTGCCAGATTGAAAGAACCAGGAAAAGAAAAACATGAGCAGAAAAATCAAAAAGTGTACTGAAACTGAGAAAAAAAGAGTAATTACTAAATAAAACTATCTCTTAATGACAGAAAAGAATCTGACATACCAAGTAAAACCATGTAAAACCTATCTTGGGATTGAACAAAAGATAAACGAATCAGAAAATACCCATGCCATGTGTTTTCTGACTGCATTGGCACGTATGAGACCACCGAACAGGGCCGGACCGGACCATTGCAGTCCGTTCCACGGGCACGCCGGTTCGCGCGAACCGACGGCTGCTTCCCAGACACTCCACGGGACTGGCATATTGACCTACATCGGGGTGGGCCAGACCTGGGGTCAATGTATACATGCCATATGGGGGTGGTTTGAGTCAATTGAATTGTCCAAATCGACGACGCTTTCGCCAAAATGACCACGCTCTTCAGCCAGCCAGCGCCGAATTCACAGGTGCCAGCGAGACCGGTCATCTACTTCACCAAGGGCCTCATTGGTTCCTTTGGCGGAACTTCACCCGATCGACCCATGGGACTGGCATAGTTGGCCGATCAGTTGGGGCGGGTGGGCCAGACTTGGGGTCAATGTACCTAGAACCTGCATGACCTCTATTTTGGACCACCAACCACTCAAAATATGGCCTTTTCCTATCAAAACAGAGGTCAGTTGGGTTCAATGTATTTATATAAATATTCCCGTCCTATGGATGGTTTGGGATCACAAATGTGCCCACACCGCTGACACATGTATTTCCGGCGCAAAAGAAACCACCTAATCCGTTGGTGTTTTTTCAAGACTTCCAGGGTGGAAGTCTTCGAAGGGTCCTATGGATTGGAGCCCTGGCGAAGTCCAGTTTGATAGTTTGACCATGTTGTCTTTTTTTGGAAGTTGGGGCCTGTCCGAAGGTGTTGTTGTTGTTGTTGTTGTTGGGGCCTTTCCAGTTGGTTGTCTTTTTGTTGTATTTGATAGCCCCTTTCCGAAGTTTCAGGACCTTCCGACCTTCGGATCAATCACATCACATCACCTTCGTCAGATCAAGTAGTCGACTCGACCCTCCCTTGCAGCCCAGCCCAGCCCTCCTGGTTACTGGCCCCACCGTGGTGGATAACGAGATCCCTGGTGAACGGCCGGTTGGCCTGTTGGTTGGATGGTGTTGGACGTGTCGGATCTTCCAAAACCACCGGTTCATCATGTTCATCCCCAAGAATCAGGACAAGAATCCTTCCGAAGACCAGCACCCTTCTCTTTGAGGTGCCTATATAAATATAGTCTCTTAGAGGTGATGAAGGGGGTGTCCAAAAACCACCTGGCAAGGGTCGGAAGATGTCGGAAGGGTCTAAGCTGAAGCTGAAGTTCTCAGGTCCTTTGAGTATTCTGCTGCTCTTTCAATTCCTCTCCGCCATCATTTTTGTCTTTGTCCAGACCTCAGAACGTGTGGTTTCCTGCGGGGGCCGCACCCGTTCGCACCGGGCCTGGTGCGGGGGGCCGGCCGTCCTGGCATGCATGCATGGCATTGGGCAAGGATGAGACTGCAATTACTGTCAACTACTGCTTTGTGGTGCTGATCCACCCATTTCCACCACTTCCCCCACAAGTCACCACCCTCCAAGCCACGGGCGCTGCCTGCCGGCCAAAACGGACGCTCCCAACCCACAGACGGCCAAAACCGTCCGCCAGCGGTCAGGTCGAACCGGGGTGGGACTTGTGGACCGCCTGGTGGTACGTCATGGTCACGGCCACCACCGTAGGAGCGGTCGTCCGACCGGTCGTGCGACGGGTGTTTGGATGGAGGGAGTCCGAGCGCCCTGACGAGGGCGGAGAAAGAGACGGAGATGACGAGAAGAGCGAGGATGTGTAGTGTGAACTGGGGGGTTCCATGGTTTTGGTTGCGTATCTCTTTGATGACTGGGGAGTGAACCAAGCATCAGATGCAGCTTGTGATATGCATGAGAGGGTATCGGGCTGCCGAGGTCAGCACGGATGAGGTCAGCACAGCGGGCACCGGTTCCGAATACGTAGTCCAAACATCAGGTTGACCTACCAAAGGCAGAAGTCCAGCATGCCAGCATCCCTTTCATTCCCCACTTTTGCCTCCTGCAGGATATGGTGACTTCTCTGTCTCCCGAACCAACAATGATGGTGGGCTGATTTGGGCCTCACTTCACATTCTTCTGTCCTGCAGTTTGCTCCTCGGTTTGGCAAAAGAATATCACCATCGAGTCGCAGGTGCTTCGCTGAAACGACGCAGGGAGTCGAACGAATGACCATAGTCATTTTCCCGTTTTGGCCTGCAGTCGTACCTTCTGAGGTTCGGTGGGACTGTGGTGGGTGCCAAGAGGGTTCAAATACCTAATTACTGAGGAGGTACGACGGGTCGGTGTAGGGTGAGATGGAAACATGCGGAATACTGTGGATTCATCCGGAGAACATGAACGGCAAAGGTCGGCACGGGGCCACTGTGTTGACAACATGCGACGACACACGCGTTCTGAAACGCACAGGTTGGCCGCGCTGATTGGAGACATTTCAGAGCTGAAGCAAGAACGAAGGGAGCAGCACCTGGGAGAGCAGCACCGCGGGGTCGTTCGTGGCTGGTGGCGTTGGATCGCTGTCAGGGAAACCACTTTCCTATCCCTAGGGATACAATCACCGAACCTCAGAAGGTACTTGGACCCTCCAACCTACATAACAGTGTCTCTAATCACCTTCTGAGAAGGTACTTGGATCCCTGATCCATATAAATCCAGCGACCTGTTCGCAGGCATGTTGCATTCTCGGAAAACCCGAAACCCACGGGCCTCGGAAAAACAAAAAAAACAAGAAGCACAGTGAACTGCCAAGGCGAACAAGTGTGTTGGGGTGGCTGCTTTGGTGGCATGCGTTCTTTTTTTGGTCCAGCGTTGGGTGCCAAGTTCCGTTCCGCGAGATCAAATGGTGGCACGAGATCTGCAGCGCATCGTGACCGGTCGAACAAGAGTTTCCTCGTACAGCACACTACAGGGGATGGGAGAGACTTTTGATGGGCACAATGACAGAATGTTTTTGAGATTGTTTGAGTCTTGCCCGATTTTGTGTAATTGTTTTTCCTACCGTTTCAATCAAGTCTGCTTTTTTGTAGCAAATGGCCATGTTCTTGCCTTGAGGCATTTGATGCGTTAGCGTTTGCTCTGCTAAAACGGGGACTTTCCCAACCCAAAGGGGCATGTTTCATGCCAATCAGCCACATGGCACCTTTGAAATGCAACAGCCCCTTGATGAAGAAACCAAGGTTGGGGAAGTAGCTAGTGGTTGACCAGTTGAGCAGGACTGGGGTGGAGATCGGTTGACCCAGGATCAGTTGAGCAGGTGTAGATAACCCAGTCCGGAGCGGGACTGGGACTTCAGTGGCCTTCGCTGAATTGTATGGCAACGTGCTGATGCCAGACTCCAATCGGCGATGGACGTATTTTAGGGACCTGGCCGCTGTTGGGCTAGGGCCGGATCAGATTGAGAAGCTACTGCACAGGTCACAGGTGAATCCCTGCGTCCTTCAGTTTCCTTCCTTCCGACGACTGGGGTCTTCGAGTCTGGGCCTCCCCCCCGCAGACAGTGGAATTTGCATGGCTTGAAATGGAACATAATGCAACTCGTGTCACTGAGGTTGATCCAGATCAAGCACTACTTAAAGTGCCACGAGCCGGTGGGGCCCATTCGGTTGGTGGGTGGGGCGGAAGAGCTTCGGTTCGGAGAATGGAGCAGCCCAGCACGCAAAGCCTAGACCCTTCGTCCGGGGGCCGGACACCGAATCGGCTCCGGACCTTCAACACCAATCCCTGGGACCGGTTGGAAGGGTTGAAACGGAGCGTCTGGGTGGATCCAAACCCCTGGTCCCGGGCACCTGGGCACCCTGGTTGAATTTGGTGCGTCCGTCCCAGGGAGCTGATTGAAACTGCCAAGCGCCCACGGCCCTTTCGATCGAAGGAGACTTTACAAGCTTTGGACAAGGATGGCGATCAAAAGCTGCGCAAGGAGGAGTTGCTTGGACATTGACAAGCGCGCGAGAACAACATCGTGTTGGCAGGAAAACTGGTTGGCAGGGTTTCGGACATCTGAATGTTTCACCTGTACTCAGATGTTTCACTCCAATGACTGACACTTTTGAAGAGCTTGATTCATCCAGTTAGCATTGTTTTTCGATGTGACCTCCAGGTTTGTCCTAGGGATGCTGAAGAAGATTGGCAAGCTGGACAAGGAGGATGTGCAGTTCATCGAGGTGCGGTTTGATCGAATTCTGGTTGAGTCCGAAGTCGACCACTTCCTCACCGTCGGGGGTGCTGTTCAGACGTATTTGGGTGGTGAATTGAATTCGTGGGGACTAGAAATGGGAATAGAGGAGGTTGTAGGATGGACATCTTAGAATTTCTGGTCCATCTACGAGTTGGGAGAGGATGTCAGATGGAGCAAGACCCAGACCATCCATGGGACTGGAGTATATACCTATATATATATATATACATCATATATATTATATACCTACATGGATGATGGGTCATTTGTTCGGTGCTTCGATTCCCCTAGCATTCGAACTGCCTGCCATTGATTTGATAGCCTTTACATGCCAAAAACCAAACAACCCTTGGGTTCCAACTCTCATGCTTCTGTCCCTTAGAGTTCCCTTCCTCTCGTTCCACACCCCTTCTTTTTTAGGTTTCGGGTCCCTGAGGCAAAGGAAGGGTCCTCCACTCCCCCCAGTCCGGAAGGTCTCAAACGGACGGCCGTGCTTCGAGCTGGAGTAGCGTCCACTGGGAATGTCCACATGGGAGTAGCTAATCAGCCCGAAACCATCGACCCGGAGGTGAACCGAAGAGCTTCGGTATGACTGGGCCTGACGTAGAATGGCACCCGGGCCCCGGTCGTCCCACCGAAACGAAGGTACGACTGGAGGCCTAGGGTTGATGACACCCATTGGCTTCATCGAATTCGTTCTAGATCAGCTGATTTCAACAACCACCTTCTTAGCACCGGCCTTTCAAGCTCAAAAACCAAGCCCCTCCTGTTTCTTGACATCTTCTCACAACCTCAGACAGGGGGCCGTTTGCTGGGGGTCCTAGGTTTGGCCCACTGGTGTGACTTGGTGTGGCTTGGCTGTTGCATGTGGCCCAGAACCCCCCTGGTGGGAGGCCATTTTCGACAACATCGATGCGGTCGATGGCGTTCCGGACCGGCAGGCGACAGTGGTCGGGAGCGGCCAGCGGGTGGAGGTCACTGAGAGGAAGCACTGGGAATGCAGACACTGAGATCCCGTTGGGCCTCCAGTCGTACCTTCGTTTCGTTTCGGTGGGACTGGGGTGGGTTTTGGGTCTTGAAAGAGGGAGACACAAAAAAGACCTGTCAAGAAGGAGGAAGCAAAGACCCTCAGTCGGCCAAGTGGAGATTCTGGGGAACTTAATTCGTTGATTTCTCTTTGTGCATCTTGTGCCAAGTGTGGAGGAGTATCACGATCGATGCCGGGATTTGGCAGTTCCGCCAGGATCTAAAGGCTGAAGTCCCCGAACTTCGACTGGACTCAAATTCACTACGCTCCATCCAACTACATGGAAGTGGAACATGGCCCCTGGGAAGCCTTGGAAGACTGAATTCCTCTATGAACAGACTGTAAATATTCCGCTTTAATTGATTCTTTCAGGGAGTGTGCCCCACCTGTGTGCGCTGTGGATACCTCCCCGACTCTCAAGCACCCTCCAGTCCCACCAGTCCACATGGGGGCAAACCCCCCTGTGGTGCTGCGGCTGAATGGCCGGTACCTTTATGGAATTCCACGGTGTAGATGCCCAGACCGAAAGAGTCCTCCCCAACACACGACGAAATGAAGCAGATCGTCCAACGAACCAAACGGAACTCGAACTCTCAGGGCGACGCTCCGCTTCGGTTTGATTTGGAACTCGAACTCACTCAGACTCTCCACGACTCTAAGGACCCAACTGAACTGAGCTCGGATGAACTGAACTCGCGACAGGATGGCTCCGTGAACACGGAGAAGTTTGAGAGAGCTGAAGGTTCGCCCGGGCAGCGACGCGGGCGCGACGAGCGGTGCGCTTTTGGACCCGTACTTGTCACAGCCGGTTTTTTCTTTAGAGACATGGCAGCTGGGGATGGTGAGACCTGTTTTGGGTATCGGTGACCATACTCGTTTTGCCCAAAAGAAGAAGCTCGTTTACTGGTGTTTCTCCCCGGTGTGTGTTTGTTTGTTCTTGGGCACCTTTCTGCCTTTCTGCCATACTCGACCACCCCCAAACCACCACATGTTTGCGCGCCCACAAGTCTGCCGCCGGCACTCGTGGAAATGGACGGTGTCACTTGGTCCCGTCCATCTCATTACCAGATTCGATCACCCCCTAGCCGCCCTAGCCTTCAAAAACCATTAGAATAATATAGGAATAATGGTTGACCTGATTTTGTAGTCTTAAATCGATATTAGTCAAATATCCTTGTTGAAATGTCCTGAACAGAATCAACGAGCACGAGCACGGGCTCTGTATAAAAGCAGGATTGTATATACATCCGATTAAATCAGGAGCTGACCCTACTACATGATTCAGATACCCCCTAAGAGCAATTCTGTACAAGTCGTACTTTTGTGATTTTGGATGACCTCTGATATTGTAAAGATATATGTTGGGTGACCCTCTCATTGTGTAAAGAGATTTATTCCAGGCAAGATCAACACAAGGAGTCTATACAAACAACAGTTTCCATTCTATACAATTTTCTGCTTATATAGACCAGCTAGGAAGCACACACTGATTTGATTACAAACCAACCTTCCTCTTCTGTACCGCTTCAAGCTGAGCACACGGTCGGGTCAATTGTCGCTCTGGAAAGGGGGGGGTGGACTGGCACCGGTCGTAGGGTCGTGATCCCGTACTATAACATCACTCTCGAAGAAAAAATGGGGCCTGTACCTGTGATTCTGTACAGTCAAATTTGGATTCTATATATTAAAATCTGCATAAAATTAGTGAACGACCCCACTTTGGCAATTTCACAGAGGATAGTCAAAGAATGGTTCTTCCGTAAAGCTAAATAAACTCCCATGGTGGCTGGAATCCTAGAAATCACCTCGCCCTGGGGGGTTTCACCTCCGATCTCGCTCCCGCGGAGAAAGCACCTGACCGTCACACGCCGACACGCGGACGACAGCTCGCGACCGGGTGCCCCACGCAGTGCGAAGCAAGATGTCCACGGAGAGAGAGCTCGCTTGGAAGAAGTTGAGCTTTTGTGTCAAGCAGGAGAGGGGGAAGACGAAGCGGACGTTGCAGCCAAACACTGAAGTGTTCAGACTGTTCAGACTGATTAAAAGAAAGGTCACATACTTCCTGTCTGGGTGTCCTGTTTGGAGACCTATAAGTGTAGGGTTGTCCAGTGGTGACCCGTTGGAAGCAGCTGGTACAGGGTTTTTGAACAGGTTTTTCAATCCAAATCGGGTTGGTTGATTCATCCAGAGTCTACATCGCTGATGGCCGCCCCGGGTGCTGAGGGGTAAGGCTTGGTCGCAACTGCATCCTGGACCTTCCGGAGACCCCGAAGGGATGGTGCTTCGGAAGATGAATCCGGTTCATGTGTGTTTGTTTCTTTAAAAACATTGAAAGCCTTCAGAGGTGTCCAGCAATGAAGCTGTATGAAGCTGTGTACTTTCCACTGACTTCGCTCCAAGGGAGGGTCTATACCCGAATGTCATGTCCCCCATGTGTCCGATCCAACTGCAGGAGCTCAAGTACATGGACGTGAGAAATGCCATGAAGGACACCCGCTTCGCCACCGTGGGCATCCGGGGTGGACAGGTGCGGTCAGCGGTCCGAAGCCCATCGATGAGAATCTCTGGTTGGACGAAAGTAGCGTCCGATCGCTAGAAGTAAGGCCAGGAGCCCCGTTCGTAGCCTTCGATCGCTCGGTTCGTAGCGATGCCCGAGGTGTTCCTAGTTGTTGCTTGTTGGTGTTGTGTCAGTGGACTCCGCTACCCCGCAGGAAGAAGTGCGGCCAACATCCAAGGTGGCTCCTGCCAAGGTGGATGACGCTCCTCCCTTGCCACCGCCAGCTGAGGCACCACCCACACCCACGCAGCACACCCAGGGTGGCTGCACGTGCAACGTGCACTACATCTACCCACCCACGCCATGTCCCTCCTACCAAGTGACCAACGCAGCCCCACCCGGCTCACCCAGCTCACCCTTTTCACCCACGCCCTGTCCATCCTACCAGGTGTGTCCATCCTATCAGCCTGTGCTCCGCTATCCACCGCCACCACCATATCCACCACCTCTGCCCAGCACTGGAGTTTGGTACATGACCTATTGAGGCCGAAGCTAAGCCTGCTTTGCTCCCGAAAGGCGATGCCACACCTGAAAGGGTGTGTCCGCTGTCGCCGTGTATCCTTTGACCCCGCTGAAGAAACGCGGGTGCAGAGCAACAAATGTTGCTCTGAGCTTTATGTTGCTCACACCTAGGAGCTTTTCGCAAGAATAGTAGATGTCAAACATCTTCTTCTGAGCCGCCGTCTTTGATTTCATCAAGCACTGCCAAACAGTAGTTTTGAGCTGGGAAGCCAAAAACACGAAACATCAAACCGTTTTCTGTCCGAAAACAGCGGCCAAGCGTTTTTCTCTCGTGAGACAAAGTGTTTGACCAACTCTTTGGTCGAGACAGGCTTGTTGCCCCTCTGAAGAGGAAGCAAAGAACGCTGCCAGGGTTCCTGGCCTTGTAAGAAAAAGACTTAATTCTGATATGCTCTTAGGTTGGAGGCCATCGCTAGTAGGTTGGAGGCCATCGCTAGTAGGTTGGAGGCCATCGCTAATCCCTAAACTGGTAACACCCTGCTAAGGCCGCCAAGGCTCATGGTGTTCCGGATGGTCCTGTGATCCAGAACTAGGATTTTAAAGCAATATGCAAAAGGGACTCGATTCCTCTGGTCCGTTCCCTTCAGCTTCTGTGCACAGCCCACCCACCGCGTCCCCCGCGCGTGCCACCCGGTGGTGCGACCTGGTCAGATCATGCCGAGCGAGCAGACAGAGGCAGGGCCAGCTGGAAGGTTGGGGGGGGCGCGGGGCCAAAGTGGTGACCGCTCGAAGTGCTGTGGAGGTGTCGAATGACTGAGACTCCCTTTCTCGCCCTGTGGATGGGTAGACTGAGTGGGTCTCCCCTGGGCTGAATAAGGCGTTGGTCCTTAACAAATCGATGTGTGTACCGTCAAAGAGAACTACAACCTCTAAATACAATACTGACAGAGTTTGTGTTTGACATATTCTTGGAGGAATGTACAAACCTTCATTTGGGTACTTGTGCCTTTCCAACCAAGGTGTTTCAGCGGGTGCCTCAGATTTGGCTTTGCCCCACCAATTGACCAAGCCGGCCCACAAGATCTTTGACACTTAGCTTTGGCTTGTTTTTGCTGATGTTCTACTTTTCCCATTCAGAACCTCTTACCGAATCTCGGTTTTTGGATCAACCACTGCGAGATGATAGGGACAGTACCCTTCTTTGATCCTTTTTGTATATTTCCCATACACTCCATGTATGCCGTATATGCCGATCAATTGACCCCCCAAACCACCGAAACCACCCCTGGCCGTTTCTCGGCAGTCCTATCTATATGGGTTTGATGTTCTCGACCACGGGCCGAGCCGGCCGAGGCGGAGCTGCGGGCCGAAGAGGAGAAGCAACGACGGGAGGAGGTCCTGCGCACCGGAGGGCGGACGGAACCAGGACGGGTCGGCCCGCGGAAGGTTCCTCCATGCGACGGTTGCATGGGACCTGCATGGATAAAATCGGAAAACAAAGGAATCGAGTTGCATTTCATGTAGACTCTTAGATGAGGTTTGGCAGCCGGTCCAGTCATACCGAACCGGCTCGGAGTCATACCGAACCGGGTCGGTTCGGTACGACGGGTCGGTGGTTTCGGGGTATGGACATCCGGGTCTTCTTAGACCCCAGGATCGGTCAACATCTTCCAACATGGCTTGCTTCAATGCGTGATGTGATCGAACCGTAGATGGACCAGAAAGAACACCGGGACGACGGTTCGGGTTCGGGTCATGCAGATCGATGGAACCAGTGGAGGTTCTACAGTAACAGTTGGTCCATCAAATAGATTGCCAGAGCCCATTTTGCAATGCACAGGGTTGGTGGAATGGCAAGATCTGGAATTGTCGCTTGAATGTCACAAGACTCAGTCAAAACAAGCGTAATAGGCTCCATGCTGGCCATCATCTCCCAAAAATATATATGCACACTATGAGAGCGCTACTAAAATGGGATGATGGATTTACTGCCGAGCGCTGTCGACTGTCATTTTGATGTGTCGAGTGTTCCACACGGTGGAGTATGGCAGTGAGTTTGCTAAAGCACCCTCCAGTTGTGGATTGTGTGGTGAAGTGAGGTGTTGTGACCAGCGAGCAGCCACAGAGAGGTGGATTTGGTGAATTCTGACTAGTTGCTGCGGGGGGTAGTTTAGAAGTCAACATGTCAAGCTTTTGTGTGTGCTTGCAAGATTAAGTCTCATGGCAACTTAGCCTAAATTAGTATAGTTACAAGCAACTACCTGTTGTTTTATGAGGACATCAGGTCATGTCCATATCCCATTTCTAGAGTCTCGGTCGCTGTCTCTTTGCAACAGCTGCTTTTTGCTTTGACCTCTTGACTCGAACGGACTTCGGCACGGTTTTCTCTGTGGGGTCTGCGTCCGATGAGGCACGACAACAAGCAGCTCTGGAACGTGAAGAGCAGAGATTGCAACGTGGGGAGCCTCAGCTGAAGCCCTCTGAGAAGAGATGTGGATCCCCAGGGAGCGAAGAAGAGGAGGAGGAGGAGCAGCGCGTTCCGGAAAAAGATCCGAAACGAAGATTGGATGCCTTTGGCTGGATAGTCTCAGCCCTGAATAGCCCCTGGGCTCGGACGAAAGTAGACATCTTGAGTTCCGACCTGGCAGTTTTTGTTTTCTGCAACAGGATGTTTGGGTGGACTTCGATCATTCTCTTATAAACGTTTTTTAGTTGAAACCACCAAGCAACATGAGGCAACATGTGTGTTCC